GCAGCATTTTCTGCTCCGCAGAGGCGTGAAGAGCCTCTCTGCTGCCTCGCTGCATCCTCCTCCCCCAGGTTTTGCCGCAGCTCTGCCATCCCCCAGCCCTTAACAACCCGCGTCTCCTCCGACCTCTGCATGGGGGGGAAAAAAAGACCTTTAAAATTTATTCTGTTTTTTTTTTGCGGGGGGAGATGAGAACTCAGCCGCAAGGCTGAAACCTGGCTGAGCATCAAACCGCTTTGCTGCTGGACGATGAGCAACACCGTCCCTCCTGCCACTGGAGCCGCTCACATTCCTTGGCTGGAGTTGACAGGCGCTGCCGAGCAACTCGAATCCGGTTCCCACACTGGCGGGGACCTAAAACTAACATCCCTGAATGAGGTAACAAGCACTTGAGTCAACAACCCACTCCCGCCAGCTGGATGAGACGAGGGGGAACTGTGACCCTGCTCGGAGAGGGAGTCCCTTCGCCTGCTCCAGGGACGGTCCTGCTGTCCCCAGGCTGGTGGGTTTCATGCAGTAAATTCCCTCAGGATCCAAGATGCAGGTCCGGGTGGTCCCATTGTTACTTTTGCATCCCCTGGCTGGAGCAGGCGCTGGTCCTTCCCAGCATCCTCTGACTCAGCTCACTGGGCACATCTGCATCGCCGTTGGGGACACGATAGAGGAGAAACACTGGTTCCCCTGGGAGGTGGCCACAGGGTTGTATGGCTTCAGCACAGCTCAGAGGATACTGGCCACCTCTGACATGGTCACCTGTCACTTCACCTAATGTATTTTGGGTTTGGGATGAGGAACAGAGCATCCATCCTTCCTTCAGTCCATTCTTCCTTCCATCCATCCATTTTTCCTTCCATCTACTCATCCATCCATCCATCCACCCATCCATCCATCCATCCATCCACCCATCCATCCATCCATCCCTCCATCCATCCATCCATCCATCCACTCATCCATTCATCCATCCATCCATCCATCCAAGGCTGCAGCACCCCAAACAGCAAACAAAAGCCCAAATGAAGATACATTTGTGAGATGGACCTTGAGAAAGTCATCCTATGGAATGCAAGGCGTCAAGTTAACAAGTCTCGTTAAGAAACTCATTAAGATCTTGCTGTAATCAAAGGAAGGAGAAGGAGCAAAAGATGGGGGGTGGGCATACATGGAACAAAATTGTTCAACTCTGATTAAAAGCATCACCTGAAGAGGAAGGATGCTCTGAATGAATCATCCCATAAAATACATTCGGTCCATGAAGGGGTATTAACCACTTTTCTGGCTTTTTTCTTTTGTAAGATTTATAGAGTTTGAGTTGTTTTGGTTTTAAACAAATTTTTTCATTTACTGGAGCAGGAGAAACGATGGTGGAGTGGAGTGCAGTGCTGACAATTCCTGGATGGTTTTCCTGGGGTCCCTGCATCGTCAGTGCCCAGCTATGCACAGGCTGGACTGGTCCTCACTGCCCTCTCCCCCGCCACACATGATCTGGACATGTCCCCCACCACGGATCCCCCGTGTCACCCTCGATGCTTCCCCGGCTTCTCCTGGGAGCTGAGATTTTTAGCACAATGCTGCCCCGACTCCAGCGCGTTCCTGCAGACCAGGGTTGGAGCCGTTTCTGGAACACTTCTCCTTGCAGCGCGCACTTTCCTGTTTTCCCACGGGCTGTGAAATGCGAAGGATTTTTTTCACTTTGCTGTCAAGATTTGGCTACAGACTTGTTTACGAGGCCTACAAAGCAGGGAAACCAGATAGTGCCATTTCTCTGTTATCTGCTCGGCTTGGGAGGCATAAAATTTGCAATTCTCGGGAATACGCCGAGTGGAAAGTTAACAGCAAGCGGGCGGGAGGTGTTTTGGCAGCCGAGGAGAGCGATGTTATGGGAGGATGCACCCTTGCAGTCTTTCTGCAGCTGTTTTGAGGTGTAATTGGCATTTTTTTCCTAACAATGCCTCAGCTCGTTATTATGCCCAAGAGGAATCGAAGGGAAACGGGGCGGCAGACTCGCTGGCTCTCCAGCTCCGGCGTGCCGTCGCCCAGCGAGGCGGGCAGAGGAAAGCGATGGTGTGGCCAAGTCATGATGTTCACCCTGCACCCATGTTTCTCAGCTTTACCATCCCCGTTTCCAGCAAACCTCCCAGCGCAGCTCCAGCAGAGGCGTCGATGGGGAAGACAGCGGGTCCGTGCAGAGCACGACTATGCTCAGAAGGAGGAAGGAACTATTGAATGCCACCACGGTCATAAGTCACCCGGGGTGCTGCAGACTGCAGAATTAGATTTTTCATCAATCTGATGGAATATTTTTATATATTCAGTATAAAATTTGATGAGAAGCTTTCCCAGCACAGACATGGCTGCGAGTTCAGGCGTTGCACAGAGCAGGGCAGGGAATGCTCTCAGGAGAGGCTGTGCTGCTGGGCCATGGACATCATGGCAATAAGGTCCCTCCTTGAAGTCATCCTCAACCTTAAGAGCAATGTGGGTAAGAAAATAATTTCTGCAGGTTTGTGGAGCATTTAAACCCAGCAGCAGTAACAAGAAGGTGATGACCATGAGATGGCAGCAGGCAGGTTCTTTCCATCCTCAAGGAGAAAGTGGGTGCTATTAGGACGTCCAAGCCTTCTCCAGGGCTGTCAGGCAAGAGACCTCCAATCCACAGGGAGATTCAAGAGTTGTGGTGGTCAATAGGAATGATCGTGACCATCTAAGCATGTGTCTCAAGGGATCCTATGAACACAGTCTGTGGCTTCACCATTGTACGGTGAAGTCAAGTCCATTTTACCAATTGGACAGCAGAGGTTCATGGATCTGAGAGGCTATTTCTGATGCTGTGCTGCATGAGCTGTGAGAAGGTCCCCGAAGTGCCAATTTCCCGGCGCTTACGCTGCATTGGCAGTGCTGAGATCCAGGAACCAGAGCATTATAATGCCAAAAACCACCCCTGAGCCCTACCCGCTGCTCAGATACAATCACTCTGTCAAGAGCTCCCCAGCCCTGTGCTGTCGTTTCTTCCTCTCTGTCAGAAACACTCAACTCCAGCCTATTTCAAAGTTATCAATATATCACATGTTCCATATTAGAGGACACTCCACAAGAATCGTTTGGAAGGTGGGCATCCCTCAGAAAAGCCAGCAGCCAGTACAGACCCACCAGAAGAAGGGGTCTTGGTGTATACTCCTGGGCTGGGCTTGTCTTTCCCCAGCCTTGGCACTACATTTTACTACTCCTTGGTGTTGCAGAGGGTCGGAAACAAATGAAATGGAGGGTTTTTTCTCTCACTTTTAGGGTTCTATGAGAGCTGATATAGCATGGAGGAGCACAGTGAGTCCCAGACTCCAGGCTGCTGTGATTCCCAGCTGTGAGGCTGCAAGATCTCACCAAATACACAACAGCTGTGGAGGGTCTCCACATTCTCTGCTTGATTTTTGGGATGAACTTCTGACCCCCCTGCAAAAGCAAAAAGCTTTCTCATTAGCCTTTGCAGCGGGAAATTTCTAAGATTTCCCATTGCTCTTTTTCTGAGACGTGGGTAGGCTCAGCTGGTCCTTCTTCTTGAAGAAGACCACACTGGCCTCTTCTCCTCCTGTCATATCCCCCAGTGGGTGGTACTGCAGCATGAGTTTGCATTTACCAGAAGCGGATGCACCTTATTTTTGATGAAATTACTTTCATCTCTGTAGGCTCATGTGCTCAGAGTCCCACAGGTTAAGAGCTGATCTCCAACAGCAACTAATCCTACTTAGAAGTCCAAAAGGGTGGTACTTACACAGGTTTTAGCTTCTTTCAGATGCAAGGTGGGATGGTTGTTTTGCACCTGGTCTTCACAGATGACCTGGTGAGACAGAAGAAAAACAACTGCAAATCGCTGATACAGGTTTGAAGGACAGCTGGTCACCAATACACCAGATTGTCCCAAGCCAGGTGACATCCCAACCAAAGCTCTGATCCATTTTATGGACATGAACCCTTCACTCCACTCTTTATGTGTGGCAAAAGTTTTCTACAGATAACTGACAGGATTTCTATTGTGCTTGCCAAACCAGGCGTGGGATTTGCAGTACAGGGTGTAGCAGGAATTGGTTCGTGAAGTAGAAGACCCTGCTGGTGGGCCATGATGCAGTCCTGCCTTACGAAAGATGAGCATCTAGAAAGAGAATCCCTTTCCTAGCATTGGGATCTTTAGCTACCCTGGCTCATGTTTTGAGACACCCCCCCTACACTCCCAAACTATTTTCTAATATCACCCACGCATGGTTTATGCTGAACTGTGGTTTGTGCCCTCTCATCAAGTCCAGGTCCCTCCTGAAGCAGCTTCTGCTCTCTATAGTGCTCCGCTCCTTCCTAAATTTCACTTTTTCTCTCTTCAGCACTCAGACCATAATCCCCTTCACCTCCATCCTCTGTGTCTCTTCACTGGAAAGCTACTGGAGAAAGGGGTTGGGATAGATAACCTTTAAAGGTCCCTTCCAACTCAAACCAGTCTATGATTCTATGATTCTATGATTCTATGATTCTGTGATTCTCTAATTCTATGATTCTGTGATTCTATGATTCTACGATTCTAGGATTCTATGATTCTATGTTTCTATATTTCTATGATTCTATGATCTAGAATTATTTTGCTGCCTCACGTTCTCCTAAGGCAGATCTCTCTAGGATTCCAGCTAAATATTAACAGACACCACTGCAAAATTCCCACCTTCCTGGAGGCGTCATTACCTGATTTGGGAGGGAAATATTTGGGTGCTGGTGGCCATGACTGCTGCTCACTGTCTGGTCCCGCGGAGCTGAGGTCGATGGCTGTGTACTGGCAGGGTTCTGGTCAGCACTTGTGGATTTGGTTGATACAGATCCGACGTCATGGCTTTTGTGTTCTGTGTGCCCAACATACACCAAAAAAAAATAAGATAGATGCCGATACAGTATAGAGAATACAGCTGAAACAGCTCCATTTGTAAGCAGCAGAAAAGAAATTTCCAGCTCTAGCCCCACCTTGAAACTCGTTGTGTCAAAGCTTGGAGGGGTTTTGGGTTGCTCTTTTTTCATTTTTAAAATTAACTTTGACATGGAAAATATATTATTACTGATTTTATTTTCTGCTCCTGAAACCCATCAGACTATTCTGGAGAGATGAACCTAAAAGCTACAACAGCTGTGCGTCGGTAGCTGGGTAATCACTCAAAAAAAGAGTATTGCTGGGTAAATGGGATGGCCTTCATTTCATTTTATCTGGGGGAGGGGGGTCTTCCATGAAGGTTTCTACAACAGAGGTAGACTATCTGAGCTGGCTACACGGGATCGCCCAGGGAATGGAATTCATCGTGCAAATGGAATGGAGTTCATCGTGCAAACCCACCGACAACCGCACCACCTCTGCTAGGAGGGGATGAAACCCATAACCTCTCTTGACTGGACCTCTGCCAGCTATGGAAGAAGTCCTGGGTGACACGCTTAGAAGTAGTGCTTGATACTATGGGAGACAGCCTGGGGTCTCCTGCCTGCCTGCTGCTCCAGAAGGACACATGCCCCACGTCTACCAGCCCCACGCAGGTGTCTTAGACACCCGAGATCATCTCAGATGCTTTTTGTTAGGATCTGCAGCATCTCACAGTTTCTGGGGCAATGGGAGTAATGCAAGGAGCATAGAGCTTCCTGCCTCCCAAAATCCTTTTGAGGAAATGCATCTCCATCACTGGGTTTTTAATCGATCCTTAAATGGTGACAGAATTAAAATGCCGCATCCTGCTCACAGCCTGTTTGCTTTTGGGACTCCTGCCTCTTCCACAGAAAAGATGAGGGATATTTCTCTCCCAGACACATTCTGAAGGCTCCAGGAGAGAAGTAATTTCAAAGCCATCTGTTTCTCTTGCATTCTCTCACCTATTCATTAAATATAAACGTTTTTTAGACCTCTTCATGTTCAATGCTTGAGGTCAAATTTGAATTAACGTAATTTCATATATCATCCTTTAATGGAGAACAGTCCTGTGGAGCAGGAAGGGAAAGAAACACCCTTCAGGAAGACAATCACTTCACCTCCTCATGCCTGCCAACATGCTCCAAACATGACTTGGGTGAAGCCAATGAAGATGGTCTTGCATTAAGACTTTGGTCCGTTATGTGATGCTGACAGCTGGAAGGCTGAGGGGGGTGAAGATGTTTCTTTGAGAGGCTTCTGTATTGCAGGTAACTGGGAATGGGGTCAAAAAAAACAGTCTCCAGAGGAAGATAATGAAGGGCTTCAGTGTCATCACAGCTTTTATTCAAAGCCAGATGTGAGCTGAACCCACAATCCCAGTCTGGAAGGCTCCATGGAGCCTCCGACTGAAACAACCCCATATGTGAATGCTACCAGACAAAATGCCAATGGGGAGCCTAAACTGCGCCTCACTAGGACACTTATAAACTAAGATGACTCTGCAAAGCTCTAGAGGTCTAGAGAAAACATATTAATGGTCTTCAGCAAGAACCTAAACACCACGTGGACACTCACAATGCTGCTTAGACGGATGTCAGCAGCATTGATGAATATCCTACCTAACTGCTTAGACTCTTTAGAGGTTGCAGACTCAGTGTTTAGCCCAAAATCTCCTTAGTCACCTTAAAGCTTATTTTCTGTGCATGCCCAGACAGCCTTCACTAAGCTGTCAGCCATACAAGGGATCTTCTACACTCATTCAGGGTGCCATCAATCTGTTTCAGCAACTCTACAATGTCAATCTCCACCTCGGAACTCATTGCTGCTGGCTCCCTTGTGCAGCCACTGAAGATGGAGTCACTGCAGTCAATGGTGCTTTGGGCACAGTTTGGTCCATACGAAAGCCAATGTCTGTGCTTTGCCAGTTGATTCAAGCCTTGAATTTCACTAACTGCACTGACTCAGTCTCCACTGATGACAACAGGGACCTAGACACCCAGCTGATATGGAAACAACTATGCGGGAATGTCCTAAAATGAGACAAAGTGACAACATCCTATAATGGCAGGAGGTGTTGAGGGCAGCCAAAGGAAAAGACCACAGAATGACTTCCCAGCACGAGAAATCAAGATTCTTGTCTTACGGTACCTGCTCTGGTTGTTGTCGTGACTGCTGCCTCTGAGCTGCTGCTGCTGCCAGGTGGTAAACCTGAAGGGGTTTTACTAGTGGTCCTGGGGACAGATCCACCAGGAGGGCTAACAGAAGTGTTGCTGCTTCCAGATCTGGTGGGAGAGGCTGATCCCTGGACTGGAGAACTAGAAGAAGAGTGAAGCTCCTTGGTGGTAGATGTGGGAGGCCCAGGGAGAAGGTTGTTGCTTGGGACTCCTGCGGTGACATTGGTGCTGGTCAGCTGGCCCGAAGGCTGGCTTTCCTGAGTTCCCACTCCGGGATCGGATGCAGCAGGAGTCACTAAATGTCTTGAGGATGTTGTTGGGCTGACCGCATGAGTGCGGCCAGCATTTGCAGTAGTGGTGGCTGCCAAGCTTCCCAAAATGACTGGAGGGGTAGTCTTCTGCGTGGTGATGGTGGAGGCTGTCGTAGGGTTGGCTTTGGGGGTTGTGGTGCTGGCTGAAGAGCTGATATGCTGAGGTGGGCTGGGTGGTGTCTGGGAGGTGGATGGTAGGTTTTTCAGGCTGTCTGTGGGAGCGATCCCTTGACTTACAGTAGGTGACTTCACGGAGGCGGTTGTTGGGTTTTCTGTTTTACTTATAGCGGTGGCCCCTTGAACAGGGGTGGTCAATGGGTCCCTCAGCTTGTTTCCAGAGATGGTCCCTTGACTAGTAGTAGGTGACACCATAGTGGTGGGTGATGGCTTGTCTGTTTTGCCTGTAGAGGTGGGTCCTTTTGTTGGTGGTGTCCTGCTCTCTGTAGTCATGGTGGTTTGCCCACTTTGTTTTGAGCTTGCAGTTGTTGCCGTATCATCCTGAAAGCTGACACCTAGGGAGAAGTAAAAACGCCAAGATAAACTCTGAACTAAGGAAACTACCCTTGGTTTCGACCCAGAACAGGTATTTGTAGAAACAAATAGTGACCAGAAACCATGAGGCATTCACTCAGGGCTCCTCTCATGCTCTCCAAACTCATAGCAAATGCCATGTTCTCGTATCACTGTGTACAACAGAAAGCAGAGAAGAGGAGGAAGAGAGCACCTGCTTTATGATGGTTTTATAGTAATTATCTGAGTTTGGGAGGGAAAAAAAATCTGAGCAATTAAATAAACAAAGCTGGAATCTGCAAAAAAAAATATAACTTTCAAAGGGATCCGAAGTGTTACTTTATTTATTTGAGGCTTCTCACCACTCCAGGGGTGTGAGAGACCCTCGTAACGGGGTTGGACAAACAGCACATGGTCCGTCCTTTGGCTGTTCCCTCACAAGGTCTGGATGCGCTTTATTGTGGGAATGAGTTTCATTAAGTTCTTTTCTAACCCAAACCTTTCTATGATTCTATGAAAATTCATATACACTGAAATTCCCAGTTGGGTGGAAACAATATTTATTCTACTTGCTCCAAGAGACTGGGAAAACTGGACAGACTGTGCAAGTAAATTCAAAAAGCATTTACTTGCTGCTGCATTATTTTAATTTTATGGACTTTCAGCTGTCCATTGCAAATATTATCACCAATCTACAACCATACTTGTTTGGCTGATTATTTTGCTATTCTGAAAAGCCTGAGAAAGTCACAGAAAAATGTTCAAAATCAGTATTCATTTTCAAAGGAAAATCTTTTAAAAAAAATAAATAAAAAAGAAAGGATGCATTTAGGAAAAGGAGAAGCCAGCCAGGAAAACGCAAGGCTCCATTGACACATACCACACAAACACCACCACCTGAACCATGTAATTCCCATGTGATTTTTCACTTTTTTTTTTACACTGCATTTGTACATCACATAGAAATGCTACTTTTATCATGATTTATTCATTTTTCAGGAAATCCATGAAGAATTTCACTGGGAGTTGACATTACCTAAGTGGGAAAAAAGCTTGGTCTCAAAGCAAAGAGGGTTGTCCATTGCTCCGTTACCTCACATTATCACATGTAAGATCTACAGCTGATTTCTCAAGAAGACTTTAAATTTTCAAACAATGAAGCTGTTTCTCAGTAAGGGATGCAGATGAAGAACAATTTGCCTGACAAAAGAGAGCTCTGCAAGAGCAGAGAGCTCTGCACCGACACACAATGCTAAATTGTGGTATATTCACTACTGGACTGGTATAAAAACTTGGGTCCGTTTTTTCTGTTTGTAATCACTGCAGGAGCTCCATCAATTGCCACAGAGATAATTTACCCCTGTTGCACACGGTAACCACCAGTTCTGGGCTCTTGCTCAAATTCACCCCAGGAAAGGTTCAACCAATTTTTCACCTTTCAGGAACCACAGGCTGCTCTGAGCCACGTCATCCACAGATCTGTCTGGAGTCAAGACAACAACTTGATTTGGTGGCGGGGGGTAGTGGTTCTTCCGTTTGATGACTGTGCAGAAGAGAGCTATTTCCTCCCCCCCCACCCCCGAATCGCTTCTGTATCATTTCCAACCATCCAAAATGTAGGTCACACTTCCAAGGTTTGATTTTTAGCCATATCCTAATGGCTGCTCTCCAGAGATTTGCTTTGTCCTCCACGCTGCCTCCACATTTCTTACAGAAACCTGTTTATTAGCACTGATTGTGCTTCAAAAATCTGATGAAAGGTTAAGTTTCTGAGACTCATACTGCTGGGGGTAGCTAACTCCACAACGTCAGGGCCCAGCATGGTGGAATTATGTTTGAGACAGCACACGGGGAGTGCAGATCTTGGATGGGAAGGCTCCAGAAGGTTTGGGGTCCCACAGGACCTGCCTGGGGACAGGGTGGGTTTGGAGGAAGCAGAGGGGCTACGGCTGGGATCTATGATAGGCATCCAAACAGGGAATGGAATGGAATGGAATGGAATGGAATGGAATGGAATGGAATGGAATGGAATGGAATGGAATGGAATGGAATGGGAGAGGAGAGGAGAGGAGAGGAGAGAGAAGAGAAGAGAAGAGAAGAGAAGAGAAGATGGTTGTGGTGAAGAGAAGAGAAGAGAAGAGAAGAGAAGAGAAGAGAAGAGAAGAGAAGAGAAGAGAAGAGAAGAGAAGAGAAGAGAAGAGAAGAGAAGAGAAGAGAAGAGAAGAGAAGAGAATAAGAATATTTTCAGTTGGAAGAGACCTACAATGATCATAGAATCATAGAATCAGTCATAGAATCATAGAATACCAGGTTGGAAGGACCTCAAGGATCATATGGTCCAACCTTCTTGGCAAAAGCACAGCCCAGACAAGGTGGCCCAGGACCCCATCCAGCTAAATCTTAAACGTGTCCAATACTGGTGAATATACCACTTCCCTGGTGAGATTATTCCAATGTTTGCTCTAATTTTGAAAAAAATTTCCTCTTGTGTCCAATCAGAATGCCCCTGGGGGTAACTTGTACCTTGTCCTTTTCATGTGACTCCTTGTAAAAATGGAGTTGTAGCCACCCTTTAAATACTGGGACAATCATCTAGTCCAACTGCCTGACCACTTCAGGGGAAATGCAGAGCCAGTAGAAAAGCTGCGCAGAGCCCCTCTTGAAACACAGTTCCTATTCCTGCTTCCCCACCAGCTGCCAGGAGCAGCCATTCCTGAAAACACCATTAAGATGTGAGTTTTACTGAAACTAGCAGGATGAATTATTTTAGGAAAACCTGGGCTTATGAGAAAGCATTCCCCCTATCTCTGTGAGAAAAGAGCTTTTTGTGGAGATAAGTCATATTTCCTACAGACCAACCACTGTCTGCAGGAGAAGAAGTAAGAAAGCAAAACACAGGCATGGAGACGTAGCAGATGAAATCCAGGAGCAAAAGACAGGAGGGTATTTTCATCTAACCACCTCCTTAGATGTATTATCATCTTCCCTGGCTTGAATCCTTAGCAATGGTTGCACCAAGCTACAGATGAGGCATCCAGTTAGCCACAGAATGGGTCTATCCCATAAATAGGGCTGTGAAAGCTTGACAGGGCTTCTGACAACAAGGGAGGTTAGAAAAAGTCTTCTAAAGGTAAAAACATTACAAAAGAGCCATAAATAAATTTCCTCCATCTTCAGAAGGAAGGTAGAGGAAATCTCCCACTGCTCTCTCTTCCTTTTCATGCCCTGGCTCCATCCTAAAGAGACAGGAAGCAAATAGGCACCAAAGGAGAGGTGGGAAAGACAACTCAATTCAACTCAGTCCAAAAGAGAAAGGGGCAGGTCCTTGCTCTGGCTCTGGGACAACGCCTGTGGCCAGCTGGGACCCTGAGAGCCAAGAAACAGTGTCCTTGCCTCAGCACTTCCCTGTCCTACCCTGAGGAATTGCAGTTTACTTTTAGCAAAAATTGGGGAAAAAAAGTCCAAATCCCAGGAAAGGCCAGAGTCCAAAGTCCAGAAAAACGTCCAGACTTGCCCTGGCTGAGCTGGTAGTAGAGCCTCTTTCAAGGGACACAAGGTGACACAGTCCAAAAAAGCAAATGGGAGAAGAATGAAGACTCAAGTTGATGCCCACAAAGCTTATTAGTATTTTATCTTTCCACAGCTCCTGCTCCACTCTTTAGTGTTCCTCTCCTACCAAATTCCATCCCAGCTCAGCTCGGCTGCTATGAAATTTTCACTTTCCCACTTTCTTTTTCCACAGCCAGCTTGTCTCAAAGTATTTTGAAGAACTGTTGTGTCTGACTGAAATGCAATGGCTGTGATGAACAGTAGCCATGGAGATGACCATGAGAAGAGGAAATCATAGAACGGTTAAGTTTGGAAAAGACCTCTAAGACCATCTAGTCCAACAATCTATCCAACACTACCATAACCACTAAACCATGTCCCAAAGTGCCACATATAGACATTTTTTGAACACTTCCAGGGATGACAACTCCACCACTTCTCTGGGCAACCTGTTCCAATGCCTCACCACTCTTGCAGTAAAGAAATTTTTCTTAATATTTAACCTAAACCTCCCCTGGTACAACTTGAGGCCATTTCCTCTTGTTCTGTCATTTGTGACCTCCTCAAGACAATGTAGACAATGTGTACTTACTTAGGCTGGATCCACAACATGCCAGAGGAGACCTACAGCCAAGTGAGATCCTCTTTTCCCCGAGCATCAGAGCCCTCGTCCATCCCCACACCCATCCCACAGATTTTTGGGCACCAATCTGTCAGCAAAATTTACCTTCTCTCTCCAGTTGCATTAAATCAAACTGTTTTCTCAAAGCTGTTGCACAAAGCGCCAGATGCTGCTGCAGTCACAGGGTGCACACTTTTCTGTAGTCTTACTGCTTTAGGCTCAATATTAGTTGTTCGTCCAGGGACTGCCTCACTGCAGCATTGGGAAAGACTGTATTTTATTCAGACTGGGGAAAAACAAATTTCATTTTTGACGCCTTGCAGGTTCACCACCTGCAGAAGGCCCAGCTGATGCAAACTTATCACTCTAGCCTAGCTAACGCTGAATTCTGAAGCAAAAACAAATAAAGAACCAACAGAGAGAGCACTGCAAGCCCAGGAGTCACCGTTTTCCTTCCACATGCTCTGTATCTCCTTCAAATGCCGGAGAACTACTTTTTATCTCTTCCTCCCTAACTAGCCACTCATGCCAAATCTCAGCAGCAGACCCAAGGGTAATAACTGGTAATGAGCCCCGGTTTGCCTGGGCCGGTAGCCAGTATTGCCTGATGACCGTCCTCAACAGAAGAAATGAAAAAGATCTAGTCGAAGGAGGAAAAACCCCCTGGAACGACTGACCGGTGGTCATATAGCCAGACAGGACAGGATTATGTTTGGTGCTCCTTTAGCACGAAAATTGCTCACAAAAGATAGTTTACGTCCTTTTGCAG